TCCATTATACATATAATAGCCCTATTCTATCAGTAATGCTTGCATTAATTCCTGACCACTGACAATCCCTTTCTTCCTGATTTTCAATGCATTTTTATAGTAAAAGTCATTAGCAATGCATTTACATTATACATATAATAGCCCTATTCTATCAGTAATGCTTGCATTCATTCCTGACCACTGACAATCCCTTTCTTCCTGATTTTCAATGCATTTTATAGTAAAAGTCATTAGCAATGCATTTCCATTATACATATAATAGCCCTATTCTATCAGTAATGCTTGCATTAATTCCTGACCACTGACAATCCCTTTCTTCCTGATTTTCAATGCATTTTTATAGTAAAAGTCATTAGCAATGCATTTCCATTATACATATAATAGCCCTATTCTATCAGTAATGCTTGCATTAATTCCTGACCACTGACAATCCCTTTCTTCCTGATTTTCAATGCATTTTTATAGTAAAAAATCATTAGCAATGCATTTACATTATACATATAATAGCCTATTCTATCAGTAATGCTTGCATTCATTCCTGACCACTGACAATCCCTTTCTTCCTGATTTTCAATGCATTTTATAGTAAAAGTTATTAGCAATGCATTTACATTATACATATAATAGCCCTATTCTATCAGTAATGCTTGCATTCATTTCTGACCACTGACAATCCTTTCTTCCTGATTTTCAATGCATTTTTATAGTAAAAGTTATTAGCAATGCATTTACATTATACATATAATAGCCCTATTCTATCAGTAATGCTTGCATTCATTCCTGACCACTGACAATCCCTTCCTTCCTGATTTTCAATGCATTTTTATAGTAAAATCATTAGCAATGCATTTACATTATACATATAATAGCCCTATTCTATCAGTAATGCTTGCATTCATTCCTGACCACTGACAATCCCTTCCTTCCTGATTTTCAATGCATTTTATAGTAAAATCATTAGCAATGCATTTACATTATACATATAATAGCCCTATTCTATCAGTAATGCTTGCATTCATTCCTGACCACTGACAATCCCTTCCTTCCTGATTTTCAATGCATTTTTATAGTAAAATCATTAGCAATGCATTTACATTATACATATAATAGCCCTATTCTATCAGTAATGCTTGCATTCATTCCTGACCACTGACAATCCCTTTCTTCCTGATTTTCAATGCATTTTTATAGTAAAAGTTATTAGCAATGCATTTACATTATACATATAATAGCCCTATTCTATCAGTAATGCTTGCATTCATTCCTGACCACTGACAATCCCTTCCTTCCTGATTTTCAATGCATTTTTATAGTAAAAGTCATTAGCAATGCATTTACATTATACATATAATAGCCCTATTCTATCAGTAATGCTTGCATTCATTCCTGACCACTGACAATCCCTTTCTTCCTGATTTTCAATGCATTTTTATAGTAAAAATCATTAGCAATGCATTTACATTATACATATAATAGCCCTATTCTATCAGTAATGCTTGCATTCATTCCTGACCACTGACAATCCCTTCCTTCATGATTTTCAATGCATTTTTATAGTAAAAGTCATTAGCAATGCATTTACATTATACATATAATAGCCCTATTCTATCAGTAATGCTTGCATTCATTCCTGACCACTGACAATCCCTTTCTTCCCTGATTTTCAATGCATTTTTATAGTAAAAGTCATTAGCAATGCATTTACATTATACATATAATAGCCCTATTCTATCAGTAATGCTTGCATTCATTCCTGACCACTGACAATCCCTTTCTTCCTGATTTTCAATGCATTTTTATAGTAAAAGTCATTAGCAATGCATTTACATTATACATATAATAGCCCTATTCTATCAGTAATGCTTGCATTCATTCCTGACCACTGACAATCCCTTTCTTCCTGATTTTCAATGCATTTTTATAGTAAAAGTCATTAGCAATGCATTTACATTATACATATAATAGCCCTATTCTATCAGTAATGCTTGCATTCATTCTGACCACTGACAATCCCTTTCTTCCTGATTTTCAATGCATTTTATAGTAAAAGTCATTAGCAATGCATTTACATTATACATATAATAGCCCTATTCTATCAGTAATGCTTGCATTCATTCCTGACCACTGACAATCCCTTTTCTTCCTGATTTTCAATGCATTTTTATAGTAAAAGTCATTAGCAATGCATTTTTACATTATACATATAATAGCCCTATTCTATCAGTAATGCTTGCATTCATTCCTGACCACTGACAATCCCTTTCTTCCTGATTTTCAATGCATTTTATAGTAAAAAGTTAAAGACATTACATTAGCAATGCATTTACATTATACATATAATAGCCCTATTCTATCAGTAATGCTTGCATTCATTCCTGACCACTGACAATCCCTTTCTTCCTGATTTTCAATGCATTTTATAGTAAAAGTTATTAGCAATGCATTTACATTATACATATAATAGCCCTATTCTATCAGTAATGCTTGCATTTATTCCTGACCACTGACAATCCCTTTCTTCCTGATTTTCAATGCATTTTTATAGTAAAAGTTATTAGCAATGCATTTACATTATACATATAATAGCCCTATTCTATCAGTAATGCTTGCATTCATTCCTGACCACTGACAATCCCTTTCTTCCTGATTTTCAATGCATTTTATAGTAAAATCATTAGCAATGCATTTACATTATACATATAATAGCCCTATTCTATCAGTAATGCTTGCATTCATTCCTGACCACTGACAATCCCTTTCTTCCTGATTTTCAATGCATTTTTATAGTAAAAAATTGTAGCAATGCATTTACATTATACATATAATAGCCTATTCTATCAGTAATGCTTGCATTCATTCCTGACCACTGACAATCCCTTTCTTCCTGATTTTCAATGCATTTTTATAGTAAAATAGCAATGTTTACATTATACAATGTAATGCTTGCATTTACCATTATACATATAATAGCCCTATTCTATCAGTAATGCTTGCATTCATTCCTGACCACTGACAATCCCTTTCTTCCTGATTTTCAATGCATTTTATAGTAAAAGTTATTAGCAATGCATTTACATTATACATATAATAGCCCTATTCTATCAGTAATGCTTGCATTCATTCCTGACCACTGACAATCCCTTCCTTCCTGATTTTCAATGCATTTTATAGTAAAATCATTAGCAATGCATTTACATTATACATATAATAGCCTATTCTATCAGTAATGCTTGCATTCATTCCTGACCACTGACAATCCTTCCTTCCTGATTTTCAATGCATTTTTATAGTAAAATCATTAGCAATGCATTTACATTATACATATAATAGTCCTATTCTATCAGTAATGCTTGCATTCATTCCTGACCACTGACAATCCCTTCCTTCCTGATTTTCAATGCATTTTTATAGTAAAAGTCATTAGCAATGCATTTACATTATACATATAATAGCCCTATTCTATCAGTAATGCTTGCATTCATTTTATGACCACTGACAATCCCTTTCTTCCTGATTTTCAATGCATTTTTATAGTAAAAGTTATTAGCAATGCATTTACATTATACATATAATAGCCCTATTCTATCAGTAATGCTTGCATTCATTCCTGACCACTGACAATCCCTTTCTTCCTGATTTTCAATGCATTTTTATAGTAAAAGTTATTAGCAATGCATTTACATTATACATATAATAGCCCTATTCTATCAGTAATGCTTGCATTCATTCCTGACCACTGACAATCCCTTTCTTCCTGATTTTCAATGCATTTTTCTACCAGCAGGCATAGCAGTTGATTCGATATAATCATTCCACTTCATGTCGATGGAAAACGTGAGACTATTTCGGCGCAATGAATCAATCTCTTGGAGGTTAGCATCAGCCATACTGATGAAAGACCGAATGATTGGCTATGCTGATTAAAAGATGACATTTTTTGTTGGGGTGGGGTGGACGTAGTTTCCTGTTTTAATCCCCAGTAATGGCTAAATAGTTCTGAAATCAGAGTAAGATTTTTCCGAGATTAGCTACCATCTAAAATTAGAGAAAGATTACTCGGCTATTTAAGCCGTAGCTAGTTGTGGGACGGCAGGATGTAGATTCATGCCTTTCCCGGGGGTATTCGTACGAAAGGGAACCTAACAGACCGGGATGCTATTTGAACTCGGTTCGCCAATTTTACTTTTCGCGACGATAACCGATACGCTACTCGCGTATCCCCAAGAAAAAAAAAAATGACGCTATCTCCGCTTGCGGCAACTCAGGTGACTTAAGAATTTCAATCATTGTTGAAAGAATGCCAGTGAATATGTTATACAGAATCATTTCTCTACGGCCATTCAAGGATTTTTTTTTCAGATTACACGTTTGCTTGATTCTAGAGTTCCCGACCTGCAAATCGCATTTTGGGCTCATCCTTTTACTGATGACCATGCATTCTGTCTTCTTGTAGTTTATGCTTAGTCCTATCACACCCGGCCGGAAGTTACTGCCGGTTACTCAAACGTCCTAAAGCGTCACCACGGAGACAGAACTAATGCCGTTAATTTCCGGTGACTCAGCGTTTTTCAGAGAACGATACACAAAAAGCAAAACAAATGAAACATAAACATAAACAAGTCCTCCTAATGACCAGAAACTTCTTTATATACACATGGTGTCCAAATGAAACCCATGTGTACAGTCAAAATGCGGAAGGTAATTTTTAGTCATCAACCAAAAGACATTGCCAACCGGCAACGATGCTAACCGCAGCCGACATAAACACAGCCGATCTCTTCCACCAAATAACTCGGCCAACTTGGCTGACTTGGCCCCGGGGTAGAGCGACGCGCTCCCCCACTCACCTTCACCTGGCCGACCCTCGTCGCTGACCGCACGAAGCAGCCAACCTCAGCAGCAGCTAGCCGAACCAACTTCAGCAGCAGCAGCCGAACATTATATGCGATAGTCCTTTTAAGGACTACCTAGACCACATGATATGCGATAGTCCTTTTCAGGACTACCTGGCCACATGGTGTGTCGATGGTCCTTCTAAGGAATACCAAGCTGCGTTCTTACACGACTGTCATTCTGAGGACGAACAGGCTACACCAGCACTGTCTACGCCGGTCCTTTCTCTTCAAAAACGCCGACGAACATCCGGGGATCGATTGGACCTCGAATACCGCTGTTTCATTTGCCTGCCTCCGAGCTGCCGCCTTGAACCCCAAAACGATCCTTCAACTGGCACTCCTTGACTTCACGATCGAACTACACCAAACAATTCCTGTACGTATATTTATCCAGATCGGCAAATAAATCCGACGTTTGTTATTTTAAACCCCTGCCTTTGTTCCTCATTGTCTTAGCTGTTCACACCTTTCTTCGTAAAGCTTGCGGGGCCGACATCCTTATCGGCCCCGCAACAATCCCTTCTTCACACTCTCCGTCGCTACCTTCTGTAGTAGATTTTGTAATTTCTTTTCCGTGTTAATACACATTTTGTTAAAGGCTCGTACAGATATTTTGAGTTTAAAGTCAGACGACTTATTCTTCGTATAAATATATCCTCGACATTTTCGCCCATATTAATTGATTAAAGATAGATATTCCGAGTTGAAAGTCACGCTATATATTCTTCATAAATTATATTTTGGATATGTTATTAGTTGTTTAACACGAATTTTGTTATAGGCTCGGCTCGAAAAATACGCAAGCCATGGTTGATTTCCAGTTCGGGAGGGTTGTATACACTTTCGCCCAGATACATTTAAGAAAGCCATACGTTTGTATCGCGTTGAAAAACCTGTTGCTGTACCATCCCTAACGTTACGCAACGTCGAGCCTGGTCAGTAGTTAGATGGGTGACTGCTTGGTATTAATAGGCAAGGTAAGCTTGGATATACGGATGGTGTAATGCGTAATGGCTCGGAATTGAACTCGGACAACCGGGTTCAAATTTCTGTTGGATTCGTTATAATCACTTACTCGCACACGGACATGTATTTTAGATTGATTTACATTTTCTGGAATATAAATGTATAGAAACTAATGTGGACATAAAGTGAGGGATCAGTTTATATATTGATTGTAATATAGAATTGACCCCCCACTTTATATCCACATTGAAATTTCTTGTAGGCATATCTTTTAGATTCATTTACATTCTCTGGAATATAACTATATAAACTAATGTGGCCACAAGGTGAGGGATCAGTTTATATATTGATTGTAATATAGAATTGATCCCCCACTTTATATCCACATTATAATTTGTAGGCATGTCTTAGATTTATTTACATTCTCTGGAATAAATATATAGAAACTAATGTGGCCACAAAGTGAGGGATCAGTTTATATGTTGATTGTAATATAGAATTGATCCCCCACTTATCTACATATTATAATTTCTTGTAGACATGTCTTTTAGATTTATTTACATTCCTTGGAATATAAATGTATAGAAACTACTGTAGCCACAAAGTGAGGGATCTGTTTATATATAGATTGTAATACAGAACTAATCCACCATTATAATTGCTTGTTTGTTTGTCAAATTCTGATTAGATATGAATCCACCTCTTATCTCCCCAGCTATGGGTTAATTAGCAAGGCTTGGATCACTAAATCATTATTATCTAAAAAAAATCTTACAATCTAAGAAAAAAAAATTTAGACTCTAAGAATCTAAAAATGTTCTGGCTTGATGGGCGTGTCTCGTGGGAGACTGGCGTGGGAGACTGGCGTGGGAGACTGGTGCAACAAACACCATCAAGCTACCAACGCAGGATACAATCATCAGAACATGGACTGTTCGCGTCTTCTATGGTTTCAGGGAAAGAGTGGACGGACATGGACTGCAGGGAGCCACCACCAGCAGATCATTCTGGGGGAAGTTGTCTGTTTCTTCCGCCTTCGGGTCCCCACGACGATTGAAGCAGTCGAGGGACCTATGATGACGACCCTTGGGAGAGGTATAAATCCATCTATTCTTCCCTCGGCTATGAGTTAAATGAGTCATTAGCTTTAGTCGCCAACCAGCATAGGAGAAGGACAACTCTGAATTCAAAACAGTGTGGGTTCCTAGTGGGGTACACACTTGAAGTGTAACAAATGCTCGCTTTGTATATTGCAGTATAAAACCACTGGTGTAGACTGTTCTAGTTCCACGTGCCAACGCCTTTATCCACTATGCCATGTGTCCTTGGTTAGATCCAGTGACAGGACCCAAAGAGTGTGAGTTCAATACCCGGTTAAGGCAGTGGAGAACTTGGAGAGGGGAATTAACAGGAGATAACTGATAACTGACATCCATTAAACATGGCACGTGGAACTAGAACAGTCTACTCCAGCGAGCGAAATAAAGGGTTCAGTTCGACATTCCAACCACCTGAAGAAGGCCGGAGCGTACAACGGTCAAAACGTTGTAATAAATATGGCGATAAGGATGAGGATGATAGTCCGAATAATGTAAATAGTGTACATAATATCTCATCTCAGAAACACAGACAGAAAACCACTTGTGTCGAACAAACACAAATGGGCCTTAAAATATTTTCTGGCTTTAAATAACCTGCAAAGGCTTCATAAGCCGTAGAAAATGAATCAATCCTCATGCTAAAATGAAAGAAAGAAAGAAAGAAAGAAAGAAAGAGAAGATGGCATTTCAGTCATAATACGTTTTCAGATACCCACGGTTGTTTCAAGCTGGTTGGAGAGGGGCGTTTTTTTATCGAGTCGCTAGATCTGTCTATTAGAACACCAAGCTGTGTTTAATTAAGAGATTTTCTTCTCCCAGAGTAGTTGTCAGCCAAGACAAGATTACGCAGTCTGTTATACTATTTAATCCATAACTGGGGGTTGGGGAGAGAGATATAAATTCAAACTCGACTCACCGCTATACTGAGTGAACCTTCATTTTTTTTATTTGACCTGACCTCAGCTGGGATCATACAGTTCTCAGTCCTGTACCCCCATTTAATTCTGACGTCCATAATCTGTTCAATGGCTTCATAGTATTACGCCGTGTCAGGGATACAGTTTTTCAATATGGAACTGTTCTTCTTCTAGACTGGTTGCCTATCAGTGCTAGAAAGCACAGTCTACCCTTCTATTTCACTAATATCTTGTCGATGGGAGAAGCGATCGATTCATTCAGTATCCAATGGCATTACTGGATTAAATTCAGAGCTGTCTTGTCTCTAGGCTACACACACAAATACACACATACACGCGCGTGCGCTCGCGCACACACACATATATAATTTAATTTAGAGAAAAAAAAAAGACCACTTTAAGGTACCATTGTAATAATTTATTTCACCAGAGAATTTATTATTCTCTGGGTCTTTTAAACTTCACTTTCATATATATATATATATATATATATATATATATATATATATATATATATTAAAACAAAGAGAAAGAACAGTAAGATTTTTAATCCGGTGTGCTTATTAATAGTTTTTATTTAAAAAAAAAAAAACAGTGCTCAGTGCAATTCTTCAGAGCATGAATATTATAAATTTACTAATTTAAAAATATAGTCCCATCACTACACAGGAATTACCATGTTTCAAAAACAGAAACTAAAAATTTCATATTTGATTATAGAATTAAATTAAAATCCCTAGTTCTGTTTCATTTTCAAGCGAATTTTGGAATAACTTATTTTTGAAATTTACTAAGTTTTATCAGCACATACATTCTTAAGCACATACGCTCTTAGTATTAGCTACTAATATTAGCTGCCAATATTAAGAATTTATGTGCTTGTAAAACTCAGTAAATTTCAAAATAAGTTTAGTCTCAGTTAGTTTCGTGGTTTTTTCGATATTAAACATTTTGTGAGATGGACAATTTTCCTGTTACAAGATTTGGACAATTTTGCTGTTACACTCGGCATATACTCAATTTTCACGCCACGCGATCTTCAAGTCTTCTGAAGATTGTGTGCGCGCGAAACTCGGGTTAGGACTCGAGCCATCCTTTCACTGGATTTAACACTCAGTTTGTCTTTAGGCCTTTCTTTTTCCTCTTTCGTTTTTCGATATTGTCGTTTTTATTTGGACATGAGGTTTAGGTTTTGACAAGTTGTCCGTTGGTTCGATCAACAGTTTTTGTTTTCCTTTAATATATATACATATATATATATATAGCTCTTGAAAATATATTTCAGTTGGGCACTGTATAGGCTAATATATATATATATATGTATATATATATATATATATATATATATATATACACATACACACACACATATATATATATATATATATATATATATATATATATATATATATTTATTTGTGTGTGTGTATGTATATGTGTATATATGTATGTAAGTGTGTTTGTGTTTATATGTATGCGTGTGGGTTGGGTAGAAATTTTTTTTATTTATGAAAGTCTTTATGATTTTGTCTTATTTATTTTGTCTGCTTTCAATCCAGGGCTGTCCTTCTCCTAGTCTGTTCTGATATTTAACCCATAGCTGTGGGAGAAGAGACGAATTCCCTAGTGTATTTGTGTGAAAGTGAATGCAACGGACACAAGCGACTCTCCCTATGACTTGTGACGAGCCCTGTTGCCGCAGTGTTTCAGATTCCAACGTATTAGACTTTATTTCTCACATACGAAGAGTAAAATTAAAATTTTGATCCCCCCCTTATTACAGATAGAAAGACATGACCTACCGTGTTTTTATAAGTCCTTGAATTGTTCGATTAAACTTTTATAGCGTTATAAAAATATTTCACATTTTTCTAAGATCTGACCAGATTTTATAGTCACTGAAGACATGAAAAAAGGCTTTAAATAAACAATAAAACTCCCGTCTGTAGCCTTATTCCAGACTTAAATGCCTACCGTTGATCTAGTTATCACGGGTTAGTGTCACACTGACTTAACATATATATATATCATTTGTAATTGCATTAACGGACTTACCTTTATTTTTATAATTACAACGTTTCGACTGTTGTTCTATTGGCCTTTCTCAGGTGTCAGTCAGTCCAAAGAAAGTGAACATAGAATCAGTGGCACTAGGGATAGTTTCACACAATACCACACATTGCTACAAAATCAAAACATTAACCTAAGAACTCGAGTCTTAAAAAAGCCTCGAAAAGAAAGTATTTTTTTAATCTATCAGGGTCTCTTGTTCATACACATGTGTAGTCATGGTAATGTCAACAAACCCAGTCTGATGAAGTCCTAACGATTGAAACGTCACAAATAAACTTTTTTTCCCCCAATTTGTCATAGTGTTTTCGCAATAGTTTTATCTTGATATATAAAATTATATATCGTTATGTCATATAATTTAACTCTTGAAAATATATTTCAGTTGGGCACTGCTAAGTGATGGGCTAATTCTATAAACAGCAGTCACATAAAGCTCTTCAGTAGAGTGAGGAGGTTCTGTCTTGGCAACAGACCTTCTGTCTCTAGGCAACAGTTTTGTTTGCATTACATCCCTTAATTTGAGGTGAGGTGAAGGCAGGGTCACTAACACATTACGTGGACATGCCTGTCCATTAACGAAAATGATACTCAGATGTCTGTCATGTAATTTTATAAGACAAGGCTGTGGACGCCTGAAGGGTCGGGGTGTTGCACACTGTAAAATCTGCAAGTTTTACGAGAAGGGAACTGCAAGAAACTGGTATAAACATCACCCAGATCCTGTTACAAAGTTAGGACCTGTAACAATTTTATGGGACTACACAATACACAATGACAGGTCAATCAAATCCAATCGCCCAAACATTGTGATTAGCGATCACAAAGACAAAATATGCCATCTTACTGATATTAAAATTACTCTCTGGCAAGATTATACCACACAATAATAATAATAATAATAATAATAATAATAATGGGCGTAGAGATACACGTAAAGCACAGCACACACATGCTGAAGCTGCAAAATACTTTAAGAAGAAAGCAAAGACGAATGCAACCGACCAGATACAGAAACAATGGCAAGATAAACCGCTTCATGGCCAATACTCTACTCGTACCAAACAAGCTGACGTAGACAAAACCCGTACTCATCAGTGGCTATGCAGTGCAAGGTTGAAAGCTGAAACTGAAGGTTTTGTCCTTGCTGCATAGGACCAATGCTTGCTAACTAGGAATTATCAAGAACATATACTAAAATATTGTGTTAGCCCAAAATGCAGATTCTGTGATATCCAGAAACAATTGATCATCTTGTATCAGGTTGCACGATATTGGTACCCACTGAGTATAAAACCCGGCATGACAGAGTGGGCCAATATCTGCACTGGAAAAACTGCAACTTCTAAGGGAAGGAAACTGAAAGAAACTGGTATGAACACCAACCAGACCCGGTTACGGAGATAGGACCTGTTACAATTCTATGGGACTACACAATACACACTGACAGAACAATCAAGGCCAACCGGCCAGATATTGTTATTAAAGACCACACATAAAAAAGTGCCTCCTTATTGATATGACAGTCCCTGCTGACTGCAATGTATCTTTGAAGATATTCAAAAAGCTGTCAAACTACAAGGGCCTTGAAATAGAAATCTAAAAAATGTGTTGTAGTTGGAGCCCTAGGACTGGTTGGAAAAGAATCCAGTAGACTAATTGAAGGGATTCCTGGAAGTCCATGCCTCAAAGAGATACAAAAAAATGTTCTGACAAGTACAGCCCACACTTTACGAAGGGCTTTATCTATGTAATTTTTTTTTTTTTTTTTGTCAGTGGAAAGTGTCATGATGCTATTTCTAACCTTAGGTCCTTGGGCGAGACCCGGAAAGGAATGTGTACACATCAAAAATCAAAGGAAATAATAATAATAATAATAATAATAATAATAAACTGCAAGGAACTGGTATAAATATCACCCAGACCGGGTTACAGAGAACAACTCATGGGACTTTACAGTACACACAGATAGAACAATGAAAGCTAATCGACCAGATAACTTTGTTTATATATATATATATATATATATATATATATATATATATAAATATATAAACAATGAAAGCTGAAAGCAAAGTTTTTATTCTTGCTGCACAGGACCAATGCTTGTTAATTAGAAATTACCAAGTAAAACTGCTGAAAAAAACTGTGTTAATCCGAAATGCAGATTCTGTGATAATATCCAGAAACAATTGACCATTTTGTATCAGGTTGCACGGTATTGGCACCCACTGAATATAAAAACTTGTCCTGATAGAATTGGATAATATGCAATTTTTACAGGAAGAAAATTGCGATGAACATCACCCAGACTCGGTTACAGATATAAGACCTGTCATAATTTATGGGATTGTATAATACACACAATCTTGAACAATCAAAGCTAATTGCCCAGACATCGTAAACAAAGACAACAAAAACAGAATGTACTTTCGTATTGATATGGCAATTTCTGCAGATTGCAATGTATCTTTGAAAATCTTCAAAGGAACTATCAAAATACAAGGATCTTGAAATGGAAATCTCAAAAATGTGGCACATGAGGACATCAGTAATTCCAGTTGTAGTTGGAGCACTCGGATTATTTGGAAAAGGCTCTGATAGACTCATTGAAGGGGTTCTTGGTAGCCTATGCCTTATAGAAATACAAAAAAATAGTACTCACAAACATAGCTCATATATTACTAAGAGCTTTACCGATGTAATATGTGTGTGATTTTATTTTATTTTTTATTTTTTTTACAAAAAAGAAAAGACATTTCTGCGCTTAGGTCACTGATTGGGATCCGGAAAGAAATGTGTACCAAAAAGAAATCAAAAGAAATAACAATTATTCGGAGTATTGACCTCATCTTTATTGCCATATTTATCACAACGTTTCGGCCGTTATACGCTCCGGGCTTCTTCAGGTTTTGGAATGTCGAACTGAACCCTTTATTCCACTCGCTGGGGTATACTGTTCTGTCATATCTAATGGATGTCAGCTATTAGTTATCTCCTGTTAATTCCCCTCTCCACTGCCTTAGCCAGGTATTGAACTCGCAACTCTTTGGCTCTTGTCACTGGATCTAACCAACGCCTGTGCCATATGTCCTTAAGGACAGCTGCAAATGAATTTTTGGGACTTATAAACTTAATAAATTCAGCACTCATTTTTACCTATGCTCATATTGCAGTTTTTGCTGTTATCATTGCATTTTTACCAGTGCTCATATTGCAATTTTTGATGTTGTTATTGCTTTACTCTAGCACTCCTTATTACTAAGCAATAATAACAACAAAAATTGCAATATGAGCTCTCGTAAAAACATGCAATGATAAAAGCAAACACTGCAATATGAGCGCCGCTGGCCTTGTGCCATACGGGGTTAAGCTTACAGCATATCTACAGGCTTGCTTACAACTTATATCCAAATAGATATATTTTCACAGGAGAAAAAAGCCAACTATTGATTGAGAGCGAAAGACGGGGTTTGTATTAAATGTGTTTCAAATATGCGTTGTAGGATAAGTTTTGTGTGGGCAAAAAGAATCAGGCAGCACAATTAGGTTAGACTTGGGTAAGGTACGGTCAGGGTGAGGGTGAGGGTAAGAACTGAAAACGAGTACACGGGTACCACCGGAAGATGTCGGGGATGTAACGCTTGGGAAGGATCTACGCATTCCTTCTCGTTGCAGTCGGAACGCACACGCACACACTGGAATGTGCACATCCCTATCTATCTATCTATCTATCTATCTATCTATCTATCTATCTATTTCAGTCTGTTCACTTCTATCTATCTATCTATCTATCTATCTATCTATCTATCTATCTATCTATCTATCTATTTCAGTCTGTTCACATCTATCTATCTATCTATCTATCTATCTATCTATTTTAGTCTGTTCACATCTATCTATCTATCTCTCTATCTATCCATCTATTTATTTCGGTCTGTTCACATTCTATCTATCTATCTATCTATCTATCTATCTATCTATCTCAGTCTGTTCACATCTATCTATCTATCTATTTCGGCCTGTTCAGTATCTATCTATCTATCTATCTATCTATCTATCTATCTATCTATCTATCTATCTATCTATCCCAGTCTGTTCATAAGTATCTATCTATCTATCTATCTATCTATCTATCTATCTATCTATCTATTTCGGCCTGTTCAGTATCTATCTATCTATCTATCTATCTATCTATCTATCTATCTATCTGATTATGTTCATTCTCGACTGGGTTAGGATTCGTGTTAGGGTTGGGTTAAGTCCTGGGGTCTCTGTATGGCCGCATCGACTCCCCAAATAAGTTATCTGAAAGAAAGTTCATTCTTTGAAATAATTTACCTGGAATTCTAAATTCGGGATTGTTTTCTGTTTTTCATTTCTTTTTTTTCTTTTTCTAATAGGAATAGCATGCTCGACCACTATAGCCCACAGGAACCACTTCTTCCTGCTGTACAAGAGCGTCTCGTCTGATCGCAACAGACGTCTCTTTGTTTCTGCTCGTAACGAGTGTAAGCTTGTCCTCAATGAAGTGAACTTACTGCTTGCTGATAAAATGAATCAACGTATATGTCTGGCAATTTCCGCTCTGGAAATTCTTATCCATATCAACACTTGACTCATCTGGAGTAACCACACCTGGTTTTCCCCCCAGAATTGAGGCTAAACTGAGTGATATGCGTATAGCCCCGTTACTGGTCACGGGCATCATTTCTAAATTAGACTCCGATAAAGCAAGTGGAGGTGATGGGGTACCAGTCGTAGTCCTAAAGAAATGTGCTTTTGAGCTGGCTCTAATTCTCTCCAAACTTAACAACTATTGCCTCGCTGCTTTTCAGCTTGTTGGAAATCCTTTAAGTAGTTCCTGTTTTTAAGAAGTTTGGATAAACCTGGCCCGTCTAACCATCGCTTTTCGGCAAATTATTCGAGGCTTTAATCTATGCTGAAGTTGTTAAACATCTTACCTCTCACGACCTACTCTCTGATAAACAATATGGGTTTTTACGGCCATCACTGGATGTGTATATCAAGCTCCTGTGACTCTAGATATCTCAAAGGCGTTTTACAGGGTTTGACATGCTGGTCGTCTAGGTAATCTTCAGGGCTACGGCATTACAAGATTGTTTGATTTTATCCAATCATTTCTATCAAATCGTGAAATGTAAGTCGTTCTGAACGGGCTCGCTTCCAGATCCTTGCACACAAACGTGGGCGACCTCAAAGGCTTTATCCTGGGTCATACGCTGGTTCTGATCTTCATCAATGATCTTTCCTAATGACATCAATTCCCAAATAGGCATTTATGCGGGTGAAACTACCATTTACTCCTGTTTCATTAGCAAATCCGTCAGAGCTGATAAAGTTAACCTGGCCGCTGCTCTTGGACCTCTAGACAATAGTTAACTGAAACCATAAATGGTGTCTAAATTGTAATGCCTCCAAAACTAAACGGCTCTCTTTTAACCACCATAGAGAAACTCTTCTGCCCCGCCATCAGCATGGCTGATGTCCGATTTCAGAAGAGGGCCTCACGTTTTCAACTAACTTGAAGTGGAATAACTACATTGAATAAATAGTTGCATCTATTGCAAGGAAAGTTGGGTCACTGTGCCGTGCCAAAAGGTTTTTCTCATCAGAGTCCATCTTGTACATTTACAAATGTATCCATTCACCAGTGCATTGAATACTGCTGCCATATCAGGTCTGGTGTTCCTGCTATTCATCTCAAGGTTCTTGAGAAAATCCAAAGAAGGATCTGCAATGTAATCGATCATGGCTTGGCATCTCGGCATCAGTCACTTTCGCACCAGAGTGACGAGTCTTCCCTCTGTCTTTTCAACAAATATTTTCATGGCAACTGTTCTGTTAAGCTATTTTCAATTGTTACCCAGACTACATGAATTTAAGCGTGCAACTAGATTGGGATCTAGGTCTTGCCCTTTTACTGTTGAAATAGTTAAATGTAACCGTCACACCAAGAGTTGCTTTCCTTGCACTTCCCGACAGTAGAACTCCCTTCCCGTTACTTGTTTCACTGAAAATTAAAAATTTAAATGGAATGTCAATCACCATCATGGATCCCGTGAATCTTTTATCCTTTCCTCAGTCCCCTCTATACAGTCTTACTCTGTTCATATCTCTCTTTCTCTCTCTCTCTCTATCTATCTATCTATCTATCTATCTATCTATCTATCTATCTATCTATCTATCTCATTCTTTTCATATCTATCTCAGTCAGTTTATATCTATCTATATATCTATATATCTATCTATCTATTTCAGTCTGTTGATAAGTATCTTTCTACCTGTCTTTATATATATATATATATATATATATATATATATATATATATATATATATATATAAAAATATAGAAAATAGGAAGGAACTGTTAGGTAAATAATCCAAAGTCGCTTAGTATTTTAGTTATTATTTTTAAAATAGTGCTCGATACAAAAGTAGAGCATAAATATAATTATACGATTTGGAATCATATTTTTAAATATATATATATATATATATATATATATATATATATATATATATATATATATATATATAGTCTGTTCATATCTATCTCAGTTTGTTCATAGATCACTATCTATCTATTTCAGTCTGTTCCTATCTATCTATCTATCTATCTATCTATCTATCTATCTATCTCAGTCTGTTCATATCTATCTATCTATCTATCTATCTATCTATCTATCTCAGTCTGTTCATATCTATCTATCTATCTATCTATCTATCTATCTATCTATCTATCTCAGTCTCTTCATATCTATCTATCTATCTATCTATCTATCTATCTATCTATCTATTACGACATACATTTTAATTATGTTTATCGTTTGTCTGTCAAGCTCCCCACGGGTTTAATACGATCTGATTTGTATCTGGCTTTCCCAGGGGTACGGCGATGACGTCAGCTTTTAAATAGTAGCTTTTCTATATGTGATATCTTTCGTCAATTTAAACCGACGTCTCTTCTTCCCGTTACAAGCCGGTAGATGGCCGCTTTGATACTAAATAACTTATTTCCTTTCTTTCTTTCTTTCTTTCTTTCTTTCTTTCTTTCTTTCTTTAACTCTTACTTTTTTCAGTATTTCTTTAACTCTTTCATTCATTCTTTCAGTATTTCTTTCATAGTATCATTCTTTCTTTAGTCTTCATTTGTCTTTATAACTTCCTTGAACTCTTTTCTTCTTTCAACAATTTTTTCTTTCTTTGTTTCATTCTGCACTCCGTTCGTTCATTTATTCATCCTTTCTTTCTTTATGTTACTTTTTTATTCTTTCTTTTTTCTTGCCATTTTTAACCCTTTCTTTCTTTCAGTAATCATTTCTTTTCCCGTTTCTTTTTTTCCTTCCTTCATCCTTTTTATCTTTCAACGTTTCATTCTTTCTTTCCTTCATTTATACATAATTTTCTTTCTTTCTTTCTTTCTTTTTTTCTTTCTTTTACTCTCCCTTTTTCATTCTTTCTTTCTTTCAGTATTTCTTTATTTCATCGCTTCTTTCTTTCTTTCTTTCTATCTTTCTTTCTTTCTTTCACTCTTCCTTTCTTTTACTCTTTCTTTCGTTCACTCTTTCTTTCTTTCTTTAGTCTTTCTTTCAGTCACTCTTTCTTTCTTTCTTTCTTTCTTTCTTTCTTTCTTTCTTTCTTTTACTCTTCCTTTCGTTCACTCTTTCTTTCTTTCTTTCTTTCTTTCTTTCTTTTACCCTTCCTTTCTTTTACTCTTTCTTTCTTTTCTTTCTTCCTTTCTTTTCTTTCTTTTCTTTTCTTTCTTTCTTTTCTTTTCTTTCTTTCTTTTACTCTTCCTTTCTTTTCACTCTTTCTTTCTTTCTTTTGTTTTTCTTTCTTTCCTTTTTTTTTTACTTCTTTCTTTCTTTCTTTCTTTCTTTCTTTTGTCTTTCTTTCGGTCACTCTTTCTTTCTTTCTTTCTTTCTTTCTTTAGTCTTTCTTTCGGTTACTCTTTCTTTCTTTCTCTCACTCTTTCTTTCTTTTACTCTTCCTTTCTTTCAATCTTTCTTTCTTTCTTTTACTCTTCCTTTTTCATTCTTTCTTTCTTTCAGTATTTCTTTCTTTCTTTCTTTCTTTAGTCTTTCTTTCAGTATTTCTTTATTTCATCGCTTCTTTCTTTCTTTTAGTATTTCTTTCTTTCTTTCTTTCTTTAGTCTTTCTTTCGGTCACACTTTCTTTCTTTCTTTCTTTAGTCTTTCTTTCGGTCACTCTTTCTTTCTTTCTTTCTTTAGTCTTTCTTTCGGTCACTCTTTCTTTCTTTCTTTCTTTCTTTCTTTCTTTCTTTCTTTCTTTCTTTCACTCTTTCTTTCATCGTTTCTTTCTTTCTTTTCTTCTTTAACCTCTTTAGACGTCTCACAAAGAGAGAAGATCCCGAAATCCCTCGTACATTGGATATAGTAGAAAAAAAAAAGTAAAAAAAAGAAAGTCCCACCAGAAAGACGCTTTATTGAGTCATGGAAGAAGAAGTCGTCTGCAAAATGAGGTCTGTGTATTAGTAGCTGACATCTGGTAAGTTTGTTCTTGTTTGCCATCACTGTACGCATGCGTCACTGAATCTAAGGGTGGGACCTCAACTGCTTGTAGATATTTACCTAGATCAGCTTCGTCTCGAAAGAGGAGAGCGTGCATAATTTGCAGATAAGTGTTTGCACCGGGAATGGAAAAGGAAAACGGCAAGCTGTCTTCGAATACCGTTGAAATTTTCTTCATTTCCCTAAAAGTTAATACATTTGAAAAAGGCATGAACCCGCTTTTCCCAGAGTTCTATTTCATCAGCAATTCCCCTGAATTCCACGACATCTTATTATCCCCAATTTATAGATTGATACATATAGGAAAAAAATAAATTTATATAGGATTCGATGCGATTGCCAGTTTCAGCCATCCATCGGTTTCACACGCGGATAAAGACAGCTTTTATATGCATAAACAGTAACAGGCGCCATAGAATTAAGGACATTGAGAAGGAAAAAAATTATATAAACCATATTTGAGATATATGTCTTTTGAATCTCCTTCAAACAAGTTATATTAATTCCTTTCTGACTCTAGCTTAAACCGGATATATGTGTCCCTTTTTTACTCTAGCGTAAAACGAACGTATGTGTCCCTTTTTTACTCTAGCGTAAAACGAACGTATGCGTCCCTTTTTACTATAGCGTAAAACAAACGTATGTGTCCCTTTTTTACTCTAGCGTAAACGAACGGATGTGTCCCTTTTTTATTATAGCGTAAAACGAACGTATGTGCCTCTTTTTTACTCTAGCGTAAAACGAAAGTATGTGTCCCTTTTTTACTCTAGCGTAAAACGAACGTATGTGTCCCTTTTTACTATAGCGTAAAACAAACGTATGTGTCCTTTTTTTACTCTAGCGTAAAACGAACGTATGTGTCCCTTTTTACTATAGCGTAAAACAAACGTATGTGTCCCTTTTTTACTCTAGCGTAAACGAACGGATGTGTCCCTTTTTTATTATAGCGTAAAACGAAAGTGTGTGTCCCTTTTTTTTACTCTAGCGTAAACCGAACCTATGTGTCCCTTTCTTTACGTAAGCGTAAACCAGACCTATGCATTTTTTTTTTTTTTTTTTTTATACGAGCGTAAACTGGCCCTATGCGTCCCTTTTTTGATTCTAGTGCACTCCAGACCTATGTCTCCCTTTTCTGCTTTTGGTGTAAATCGGACCTATGTGTCTATTTTACACTTGTGTAAACCGGACCTATGTGTACCTTTTTGACTCCGTATAACCTGGACGTGTGTGTACCTTTTTGACTCGAGTGTAAAGTGGACATCTGTGTCCTATTTTGACTCCGTATGAGGTGGACATATGTGTACCTTTTTGACTCCGTGCAAACCGGGCCTATGTGTATCTTTTTGACCCCGTGCAAACCGGACCTACCTGTACTTTTTTGACCCCGTGCAAACCGGAACTACGTGTAGTTTTTTGACCCCGTGCAAACCGGACCTACGTGTAGTTTTTTGACCCCGTGCAAACCGGACCTACGTGTACTTTTTTTGACCCCGTGCAAACCGGAGCTATGTGTCCCTTTTTGACTCCGTGTTAAGCGGACCTACATGTACCTTTTTGACTGTAGCGACATATATCTGCTTTTTTGACTCTTTTGTAAACCGGATCAATGTCTACCTTTTGCGTCGTGTAAACTGGCCATTTACATTTCTGAAGTCATTGTTTTGACACTTTCTTGTGGCATTGAAATATGTAACTTATATTCGAGATTAAATCAACCCGACCCTAACCAAAATATCTTTTTTGAAGCCCTTAATGTTCTTCAATAGGAATCGTTCGGTGGAGCAAGCTAATATAAGTTTCTTCATCGGACACGTATATGAAACTGGTTCGAGAGAGAATCGGCTGACATCCTGGTACATAAGAAGGCAGATTTGTCGAATTCAGCTAAATGTTGGTCATTAAATTTCAAACAGCCGTTACGTTTTCTACGATATTTTACCGAAAAAAAATATCTCGGGAATGTTTTATATTTGGTACAATTGTCGTTTGTGTGACTTTTGAATGTTTGGCAGATTCTTCATGGCGTCAAAGACGTTTTCCTTCTTTCTTTCTTCCTTCCTTTCCTTTTACTTTCTTTCTTTCTTTCTTTCTTTCTTTCTTTCTTTCTTTCTTTCTTTCTTTCTTTCTTTCTTCTTGCTGTCATTATTTCTTCCTTTCCACCCCTGACATCTACTCTTTTTAAATAGATTTAATCTTCTTTCTTTCTTTCTTTCTTTCTTTCTTTCTTTCTTTCTTTCTTTGGGTGGCTTTTTCTTTATCCGCGCACTAATTTTTCCTCTTTCTTTCTTTCTTTCTTTCTTTCTTTCTTTCTTTCTTTCTTTCTTTCTTTCCACCCTCCTGACATCTACTCTTTTTTGACTATCTTTAATCTTCTTTCTTTCTTTCTTTCTTTCTTTCTTTCTTTCTTTCTTTCTTTCTTTCCACCCCCTGACATCTACTCTTTTTGACTAGTTTTAATCTTCTTTCTTTCTTTCTTTCTTTCTTTCTTTCTTTCTTTCTTTCTTTGTTTCTTTCTTTTTCCACCCTCCTGACATCTACTCTTTTTGACTAGTTTTAATCTTCTTTCTTTCTTTCTTTCTTTCTTTCTTTCTTTCTTTCTTTCTTTCTTTCTTTCTTTCTTTCTTTCCCCCCCTGACATCTACTCTTTTTGACTAGTTTTAATCTTCTTTCTTTTTCTTTCTTTCTTTCTTTCTTTCTTTCTTTCTTTCTTCTTTTTTCTTTTATCCGCCTTTTCTTTCCTTTTTTTTTTCTTTCTTTTCTTTCTTTCTTTCTTTCTTTCTTTCTTTCTTTCTTTCTTTCTTTCTTTGGATAGGTTTTTCTTTATCCGCGCACTAATTTTTCCTTTTTCTTTCTTTCTTTCTTTGGATAGGTTTTTTTTTTTTTTTCCGCGCACTTTTTGTTTGTTTTTGTTTCTTTTTTCTTTTCTTTTTTCTTTCTTCTTTTTCTTTCTTTCTTTCTTTTTTTTTTTTCTTTATCCGCGCACTAATTTTTCCATTTTCTTTCTTTCTTTCTTTCCTTCTTTAGATTTTTTTTTTTTATCCTTTCTTTCTTTTTTTCTTTTTTCTTTCTTTTCTTTCTTTGGATCTTTTTTTTTTTTTACCTTTTTTTTCTTTTTTCTTTTTTTTCTTTTTTTTTCTTTTCTTTGTTTTCTTTGTTTTTTTGACTAGTTTTAATTTTTTCTTTCTTTCTTTCTTTTTCTTTCTTTTTCTTTCTTTCTTTCTTTTTTCTTTCTTTTTGACTAGTTTTTTCTTTTTTCTTTTTTTCTTTCTTTCTTTCTTTTTTCTTTCTTTCTTTCTTTCTTTCTTTCTTTTTTTTCCACCCTCCTGACATCTACTCTTTTTTTCTTTTTAATCTTCTTTCTTTTTTTTCTTTCTTTTCTTTCTTTCTTTCTTTTTTTTTCTTTCTTTCTTTCCACCTCCTGACATCTACTCTTTTTGACTAGTTTTAATCTTCTTTCTTTCTTTCTTTTCTTTCTTTCTTTCTTTTTCTTTCTTTCTTTTGACTTTTCTTCTTTCCACCCTCCTGACATCTACTCTTTTTTGACTAGTTTTAATCTTCTTTTTTTCTTTCTTTCTTTCTTTTTTCTTTCTTTTCTTTCTTTCTTTCTTTCTTTCTTTTCTTTCTTTGGTGGATTTTTCTCTTCTTTCGCTTTTTTTTCTTTTTTCTTTTTTTTTTTCTTTCTTTCTTTTTTTCCTTTCCTTCTTTCTTTCTTTCTTTTTTTCTTTTCTTTCTTTCTTTCTTTCTTTGGATAGGTTTTTTTTATCCGCGCCAATTTTTTCTTTTTTTATTTCTTTCTTCTTTCTTTGGATAGTTTTTTTCTTTATTTTTTATCCGACATCTACTTTA